TACAGATTTGTATTCTATCCAGTTTGCTTATGTTATAAACAGTTTTGTTGAAGACGAACTTGAAGACATTTTTTTCTCAATATTAAAAAGTGTGGGACTTATCTAGTAGTTTCATACAGTTGATAAATAATAAATACATATTTTAGTAGTCAGAATATTTCGCACAAATTTATAATTAAAGTAATAATTATTGTAGAGATTTTAAATTAAATGCTTAGGTCCTTAAAACCTTCCAATAACTAATACTTTTTAGTACTTTCTACAACTGGTGCTTACTAATTTAAATTGCTCACTCTTTGAAAATACACAGAAAGATGAACCTGATTTAAGGTATATTTCATTTCTGTATAAGGGTCATGTGATGGATTGATTTGGATTTTTTATGACTTATCAACCCTTTCTGGGTTATTTAAAGGCAAAACATATTTCGGATTGCAATTTTTCTTTTGCAAGTGAATATTTTTATTTTATGTTTAGGAGATAATGATTTTTCCAGATAAAAGCCTTACTATTTAACCCAGAGCTCGAAGAGAAGAGATGGATTGGGTCATGTGACACCAAATAAATTTCTATGGTTTTTAACTCTAAATTAGAAGTTATAATTATTGGTAATGACTTGTTACCTATACAAGAGTTATGTAAAATTTAATTTTCTTTTTACAAAGTAGTGGTTTACAGCCATATCATGTTGAAACACCAGTTCTAATATGATCACTGAAGTTAAGCAAAATCAAGCATGTTCAGTATGTAGATGTATGCTTGGGAATACCAGGTGCTGTAAGCTGGGATGTGCTAGTGGGGTAATGGATGTCAGCTCAGAATTGAAAATTAGAGAACTGAGTTCCAATTAGTCAGGTTCATTATATTCACTTACATGCAAATACACTTTGGAAACGTATGAATTCACCTCGTCTCCCTCCGGCTATGGGTTAATAAGTAGGTCTTGTATCAGTAAATCATTATTACCTCCCAAAAATTCTTACAGGTCTTGTATCAGTAAATCATTATTACCTCCCAAAAATTCTTACAGTCTAAAAACATTTGTTTTTTTAAAAAGGTTGATAAACTGTAAAAAAAAAAAAAAAAAAAAAAAATCCATTTTTAAAAAGTAGATCTTCAGTTTTTTTTTTTTTTTTTTTTTTTTGAGATTTTCAAATGTTAATAATTTTAATTTTAAAAGGAATATTCTCATTTTATTTATTTACATGTTTCAACAGATTCATTACACTGTCTTTAAGTGAATGTATCTTGTGAAACATCTTGTTGCTCTATTGATAAGAATTGGTCGCACGCTAGCTTACAAGCAGAAAAAAGCATTCATTTGAAGGTGGTTGGATAGCAAATACTGCAGCCAATGATTTTTTGAATTATAATCATTAGTTAAACTAGTACACTGCTAGTGCTACAACTCCCCCCACCACCACAAAGAGATTTACCTGCAACGTTATTCTATTAAGCAGTTTCACATATCCGGATATCCAAGAGGGAAGTGTAGAGAAAAACATTTGACAAATAAAAATAAAATAACTGGATGGATTAGAGTTTAACACTTGATTTAAATATGAATTCAACTTCATCTTTACAATTTTACATTCAAAGCAGCAGGAATATTTGTTAAATAACAAGGTAAAAAAAAAAAAAAAATTTACATATTTGATTACTGCCTTTTTTTTTTTTAAAAAAAAACACCAAGTGCTTTCTAGTGCCGAGTTATTTATGAAATATAACTTAAAAAAAATATCATTGTATGAGAAAAGACATTAACCAAATAAATATAAGTAGGGTTGGGGTCTGGCGCTAGAAAACACTTTGTTAAGAATAGACCCCCCCAAATTTTTTTTTGGGGGGGAAGAGTTGTACAATAAACACTGAAACTAGAAATAAACGTTTTTTGTTGATTTTTTTTTTCAAATATATTTTTCATGTAAATTGGATTAAGATGTTTTTTTTTTTATTAGATTTTACAAAACTAACTAGGTGAGGATCCAGTTTGCTATGTGAATTCATTGTAAATTGCTATGAAAGCCAGTATGCAATTACAAAAAAGTTAAAACTTTTTTTTTTACCATTCATAATCTTGAGTGCTTAATTAAAAAAAAAAAAAAATTAAAAAAATAAGTTTGGATTATGAATTTTAAATTTTTAAAATTATTTTTTTTTTTTTTTACATTTTATGAAATCATGTAATATGAATATATTTTGTTTCAGCTTCACAATGAATTTACATAGGAGACTGGAACTGGACACCCAATTAACTTTGACAAAAATTTAATAATTTTTTTTTTTTTTTTTTTATATATTTGGGATCCATAATCTATAATAATAAAAAATCTTTTTAGTTACAGTGTCTATTGTACAATGTCTTTTTTTTTTTTTTTTTTAGAAGGCCAAGCTTTAAAATTGAAAAATACAAACAAACATGACATGTCTGTTATCGGAGTGTACAAAAGTAAATATATGCTTTTAAAGGCTTTTTAGATGGACCTATAATCAGAATGTAAACATTCAGTGACTGGTATTAGGAAAGGCACCAAGCTATTAAAAGAAAAAAAGAAATAAAAAAAGAAAATAAGAAAAAAAGAAAAAAAGAAAAAGAAAAAAAGAAAAAAAGAAAGAAAAAAAGAAAAGAAGAAAAAAAGAAAATAAGAAAAAAAGAAAATAAGAAAAAAAGAAAATAAGAAAAAAAGAAAATAAAAAAAAGAAAATAAGAAAAAAAGAAAAAAGAAAAAGAAAAGAAGAAAAAGAAAGAAGAAGAAAAGAGAGAAGAAAAAGAGAAAAAAGAAGAAAAAGAGAAAAAAGAAGAAAAAGAGAAAAAGAAAAAGAGAAAAGAGAAGAAAAAGAAAAAGAAGAAAAAGAGAAAAAGAGAAAGAGAAAAAAGAAGAAAAAAGAGAAAAAGAAAAGAAAAAGAAAAGAGAAAAGAAAAAGAGAAAAAGAAAAGAGAAAAAGAAAAGAAAAAAGAAAGAGAGAAAAAGAAAAAAGAAAAAGAAAGAGAAAAAGAAAGAAAGAGAAAGAGAAAAAAAAAAGAAAAAGAAAAAGAAAAAAGAAAAAGAAAAAAAAAAAAAAAGAAAAAAGAAAAGAAGAAAAAAAAAGAAAGAAAAAAGAAAAGAAGAAAAGAAAAAAAGAAAAAGAAAAAGAAAAAAAAGAAAAGAAGTAAAAAGAAAAGAAGAAAAAGAAAAAGAAGAAAAAGAAAGAAAGAAGAGAAAAGAAAAAGAAAAAAGAAAAAGAAGAAAAAAGAAAAAGAAAAAAAGAAAAAGAAGAAAAAAGAAAAAGAAAAAAGAAGAAGAAAAAAGAAAAAGAAGAAAAAAGAAAAAGAAGAAAAAAAAAGAAGAAAAAGATTACATTTGAAATTCAAAAGTGATTATAATATAGACAAAATTTTGATATTAACACTAATAAAGAATTTATAGACATTAACAATATTTTCAGAGGTTTATGTCAATGAAAGAAAAAAATGCTCATACATGTTCCGATATACAAACAGTTGCTGAATTTTTTTTTAATTTTGCCCCCACCCTCACGTTGATGTGTTGCTGTTGTTTTCCCTTGTAAAAAGGCAAATTTAATTCCTCACCTGGGTCTCAGAGCCACAGTCAGGGTAACCAAATTTCATAGATGATCTTCTCAATTGATTATTTGTTGAAAATAAATTTAAAAAAAAAGAAAAAAAAAAAGATTGTATTTTCCTTCTTAAGAAAAAAAATACAAAACCCCAATTAAGTTCACAGCCAGAAGACTTCACTTCAAGCCACTACACATAAGGATGTGTTCATTTAGGTTGTATTAACATCAAATATAATTACGCATTTGATAAAATATGTAATTATATATTAAATTACAATATAGCTCATTTATATAAGTATTATAGTATAATATATGATTAGATATTGATATATTACACAGCTTATATTATAGATCTTTATATGTAGAAATATAGTATATTATCTACAACTATATGCATTATATATGAAATATTCTAACCAGCTTTTTATAAGACAATTCTAAAGAGAATGATATCCCATGTTATGTATAATAATATTTAGGATTGTACAAGTACACTTTTTTTGTAACAAAAAGTTAGGACTTACCTCCCCAACTCTTAAGTTTGGCAGAACTGGTCTCCACTCATCATGGGGTTTAGATCGTAAACTTACTAGCTAACATATGATGAACAGATACAAGTTCTGAGAAACTTGGAATAAGGAAGATAAGTTTGAATATTTTACCTTGTTTACTATTAATGCTCTATTAATATTAAGAATTTTACTTATAAACACTGCTTGCCTTTAAATAAAATGCCATCTATTATTATGTGTGTGTGTATATGTATATATATATATATATATATATATATATATATATATATATATATATATATATATATATATATATATATATATATATATATATATATATATATATATATATACCACAAATTTAAAATATATGTGTTCTGTGCACACAATCTACTATATACACACACATATATATATATATATATATATATATATATATATGCATGCACACATACATCTATACTATTCTGTCATGTCTCATTAGCAAACCCATATATATATATATAAAAATAATGTTTAATCAATAGATATGCATGCATTTTATAAATGCAGAATTATACATTTTTAAAATATGTTTATATGTATTTGCAGTTGGCGGTGTTGCAGGCATTTCGTGGCATAAGTTTATTTTTGTTTGTATTTCTTAATTGTTCACACTTACTGGTGTTTGTATAACTTTCTGGACCTTAACAAAAACACTTCCTACAAGGTTTCCATCAATAAGGTAGACAGAGTCCTTTTGTGTCAATAATTTCAGAGGGATCACATTCTCTACAACTGCTCTGCTTGTGTCCCGGCTGAATGTATGCGAGCCATGGTAAGTGTACACAACATACTTCAAACCCTTCTTCTTACCATAAAAGACAATCGTAAACTCAACACTTAGAGCAAGGTCTGTGCACACAGTGCATTCAATGTTTAACATAGTCATATCTGTCTGACGACCCAGATATCTTCCATAAAGGGAATAGGCACTAAAATAGCCTTTTGGGAAGAACTCAATCCGGAAAGGAAACTTTGTGACCATACTTCTGGAAGGAGCTGCGAAAAATATTGGAACGTCAAACACAGCGTCTATCTTACTGTCAATCTTTGTTACCTCAAGGTACTTCTGGAGGTTGATCTTACAACATATCGAATATGATTCATCTGTGTAATTTCGATATGCCTCTTTGCCGATATCTGTTATAACGTCTGGAGAGAGAGAATGGTAACGATATGCAGCATTAAGGGGAGGGCTAAAGTGTTCGGGATGATTCCGGAACAAATTCGAAGACTCTATATCCAAGAGTTGTTTCGGTGTCATCATGCTAAAGCGTAACAATGGAACAATCCGTGCCAAATTGTCCTCGGTTTTTTCAAGCCGATTTTCGGAAACTATGAGCCACTTTTCGACCTCTTTCCAAAGGGCGTACTCACTGGCAACAAGCAGCTCGGAGTTTTTAAGAAACTCCTCCACCTCTGTGTCAGAAACATCGAGCCAATCAGCTGTGCGAAGAATGAGGTCAAAGTTCGAAGTGATGAATTTCAGACAGCTGTTAGCTAGTTCTTCTTGACTTGTCATTTTAGCATACTGGTACCAAGTGAGTGTGCGGTTTGTGTCCGGGGATTCAACAATATGCCGCATCATATAGTCGACACATGATTTACGCAAACTCACCAGACTGTATTTATCTGCCAAAAGCAAGATCGGCAGAGTTGTGTCTGTTGTCAGTTCCACTTTTCCACAATAGATGTACCTGAAAGAAAAAGGTGAGAAAAAAAAATAAAGTCAGTTATATTTGATAAATTGTAAAGAAAGAAAATTATAATGATAGATTTCTTCTCCCCTGACCATTAATCAGATACTACAGAATGGTGCCACAAAATCACAAATTTACCAAATAAAAAAACACACAACTTGGAGACTTCCAAGAGCAGCAACAACTAAAATGAATAGCACATATAAATAGAAAAGAAAATAATGACATAATCAAGATATTAACTTTCCACATTACCAAAAACAAAAAGTTAGTAAGGAAACTCCCATCAATTCTAAAAAGAACGATAACCATTAGTGGACTTGAGAATCTTAAAGAGTACAATCCTTTATCAAACCCTATAAACTGGTACTACCAAATCACAAAGATCTTTATCAAATAACAAAAAACAAATCACTTGAAGACTTCCAACAGTGGCAACAGCTAAAATGAATAGCACATACAAATAGAAAAGAAAATAATCATATAATCAAGATATTAACTTTCCACTTAAAACAGAAGTTTGTTTCTTATTTTTTCCTAAAAATCATCCCAAGCAAAGCGATAAAAGCCACTAAAATACAAAGGGTTACTGAGAATGAGAGAAACAAAGACGACTGCAAGAAAACAGGATTCAAGGAAACAGAAAATAGCAATGGACATTACATTTAAATTTTGGAAGACCATAGTTGACAGGAAAGCAGGAAGAAGTTCCTTAAGCAAAATTTGCTTGAGAAGAAACTATTAGCATAAAACTTATGTTGACAACTTGCAATTTCAACAGTGAAATTGAGACCTAGCTGCCAATCTAGTACTGTGCTTAAATCCATGAAATCAAGGTACCAAAAAGGAAAGCTCATCAGAACAATTACAGGAGATCCTTGACTTATGTCAGAGATCTGTTCCTACGGCACAATGCAACCTGATTTTCACCGTAGGTCAGAAATCATGTACAAGTCTGCCTTATGCTTGGGAGCCATAATGAAGGACAAAAATTTTATTTAAAAAAAGAAAAAAAAAAAAAAAAAAAAAAACACAAATGAGAGACAGTGAATGTAGAACAAACCAATATGGCATACAGCCAGTGAAGAAACAACACTGTCTTCCTCATATAGCACTGTAACCACAAGATGCTGTATGCCGGGTCCGGCATAAACCGAGGACCTTCTGTACTCTGAAAATATTTATGGAAAAGGCACAGGGAAGCTACCTTATGGCAACATCAGGAAAGTGGGCGAATCTGAGATGCTAGGTTAGGACTGATAATCTTGCAGATTCTTCCTCGCTTAGAAGGAAACTCGTCAATGTGAGAAAGAGTGATAATGATTAAAAATGATTTCAAGCAAATGAATTCTTTTGGTCTTAAAGATGACCCTTCATCTTACTGCAGAATCACAAATCAAAGAACAAAAACCGCATCATTTGAACACAGTTCCAACTACAAAAATGATTAACACATTTTTGTGATGTCAGCAAACACTCATTGCCACTTTCGTAATGCTCATTGTAGTAGAGACTTTGTAATCACAGATGCAACTATAGTAATGCCATTGAATAATACATACACCTTCACTTGCACTAATAATACTTGCTTGATAATACTCATTTGAAAAATAACCACCAAATAGTAATCTGTATAGAGAAATAGTGAATAGTATAGAGAATAGTGATCCGTATAGTAATAGAGGATAGAGTAGAAATAGGGATCATTTGGATGTCATGCTAATTCCCATATATACATTTCCTTTACTATCATGCGATCTATTTATTCAAAATGGGATTGCCTGTGTTTGCTCTCTGGTGATCTGTGTTCAAACTCCAGTGTCGGCAGTGACATTTTATTCCTATAATAACACACATGCAACTCAAAGAGAAAATAATGATATAATCAAGATATTGACTTTCCACACTACTAAAAACAAAAGGTTAGGATAGAAACTTCCATTGATATTAGAAAGAGTGATAACAGTGGGTTGAGAAGTCTAATTTCCTTAGATACTATTTTATAAATCTTAAATAACTATAAGTGTTTAGTTAATGTATGGTAATATTTCCTGGATAAAAATGATTAATTTCAACATTACTATGAAAGATAGCGACAAATTATCAGAGCAATCTCAGAGCATCTGCAAGTAATAAGTGTTAAAAGGATCACTTCCTTCATTTTTTTTTATACTGAAGTACTTGAAGGCAGTTTTACTGTATTTTCTTGTGCATTATACAACTAGAGTATAATACGACCCAGTGTTGCTGAAGCTTACAAACAAGGAATAAATTACATCCTTGCATACAATACGACCATAGAGTACAGCCTTCCTTATGCAATTTTTTTTTTTAAAGTTGTACTATATTATCCATTAAAAATCTCAATGTTGTAGATATATTTGATTAAAATATTTAGATTTCCACAATACAGTGTAACCCGGATATAAGAGAGATTTTCTCTGGTCCCAAATTAGAGCCTGTGTTAATGTATATAAAATAGACCAAACCCGGATATAAGAGACTTCTTCTCCGGTCCCGACAACTCTCTTATATCCGGGTTACACTGTATTAAAGAAAAGAAATGAACCAGATGTTTAGCCATTAGGTGTTCCTTCCCCTAATTTCCATTTCAAAACTTATTTTCAGAAAAAAGTGCTAACGAGACATATCTAGGGTAATCCATTTTAAGGTGTTAATTAATCTATCATACTTTTCTGTTTGACAGGACTTAATTATATTTCTATATATTAATAAAATATGAAAATAAAATATTGTCTTTGATTAAGAATGAAGAAAGAAACAAATATTGCTGACATGAAATACCTTTTGTAAGCAATTGTTATCAACTCCTGCTTATTTTGTATTTTATTATCTATTGTGTTGAATGTATTTGCAATCTTGCTGTTTCAAATAGGAGGGTTTTTTAAGCAGAGTAAAACTTTCTGAAAACTTGTACCTGTGTATATGATCTTCCACTTTCTTGCCTTTAATTTTCTTTCAAATTTCTGTTTGTTTATAATACAACCCTATAGTACAGCCTTCCCTATGTAATTTTTGTTTTTTAAAGTTTTACTATATTATACATTAAAATCTCAATTTTGTAGATATATTTCACTAAAATATTTAATTTTTCTTCAATATTAAAGAAAAGAAATGAACCAGATGTTTAGCCACTGGCTGTTCCTTCTCTTAATTTCCATTCCAAGACTTACTTTCAAAATTTTCAGAAAAAAGTGCTAACAAGACATATATAGGGTAATCCATTTTAAGGTGTTAATTAATCTATCATACTTTTTTGTTTGACAAGACTTTATTATATTAATAAACTATGAAAATAAAAAAAAATATCTTTCATTAAGAATGATGAGAGAAACAAATATTACCAACATCTCAAATACTTTTTGTAAACAGTTATCAACATTTTTTGCATGCGTTAATAAATGACCTACAAATAGATCCAGACACTCAGATAGAAATAGGCATGGCTATGAGATTAGGAATGGAGAAGAAAAAAAAATCATCCTCTATATTCCAATTATATATATTTAATTACTTGAGAAACTGACCAAACTGAGGCTGGAGATGACCAATTCTCTCTTTCCATCCTCAACAAAATTAAAAAGTGTTTATACAAACTTGTTGGCAAAGAATTATTTTCTATCCTACAAACCCCTTTCTGATGAGCTATTTTTCCTAGTTCCACCGGTTCAGGCCATTACAGCTATGGCCTGGCATACCATGTACACAAGGGTGAACCATCCTCATCTCCTTTGTATTCCATTTGTAAGAAGGAAGTTCCATTTGGACAGCTTCTTTCCAAGGGAAGCTGGTTTGAGGGACAGACTCCTGCACACTAGTCTTAACCTCTCCAAGTCTAGGGTTCTATATATTCTCATAATCTACAATTATTATGCTTGTAAAATAACCCTATTCAGTAGCCATCTACTTTGATTGGCTCTCGGGCCTTTTATTTGGTGAGCAATAGTCTAGAAAAAAAAGGTAGAAATAGATATCGCCATGAAATTAGGAATGGAAAAAGTGAAAAATCTTAATGTCTTTAAAAAAAAAAAAAAAAAAATTATGACTATATATATATATATATATATATATATATATATATATATATATACACACACACACACACACACACACACACATACACGCACACAAATCCTCTGACTCAGAAACATTATTATTATATACAGGGTGATTGAAAAGTAATTCCCTATTTTATGTATGATGTAATCTCCCGTCTAATTATAATTTTTACAAGATGTTAGAGTTCATCATACATAAAATAAGGAGTTACTTTTCAATCACACTGTGTATATTTTTTCTTTTAAGCATTTCATCCCAAGCAAGATGGGAGTGCCACTAGTATGCAGAGGATTACAAAGAGTAAAAGTGAAAGAAAAGACTGGGTATAGGGATGATTGAGGAAAGGATAAAAGATGAACAGGATTCATGACAACAGAAGATGGCGATTGACACTGCATTTAAATTTTGAAAGATTGTAGTTATCAGATTAGCAAGTAAGTGAAAGGGAAGAAGTGGCAGTTACGTGTAACTATTTCAACAGTAAAAGGGGTGGGACCTAGTTGCCAATCTAGTAGCACGCTTAAATTCATGTAGTCGGGTCACCAGAAGAAAAAAAAAGTTCATCAGAGCAGGTGCCATGAAAATATTTGTAGAAAAGACAGAGGGAAGCCATATCACATTTGTGAGAAAGTAACTGAAGTTGAGATGCCAAGTTAGGATCAATTACATTTCAGGTCCTTCTTTGGATTTTGTCAAGAACCTTGTGATGAACAGCAGGGACAACAGGCCAGATATGGCAACAGTATTCAATGCACAGATGAATGGTAATAAATTTTGTGTGTGTGTGTGTGTGTGTGTGTGTGAGTGAGTGAGTGAGAGAGAGAGAGAATTACCTGAGGAACTGGCCAAAGACAGGAATGCATTCATCAGTTTCATTTAGCTCAACTTCTGGTTGGCGGGATTCCTTCCATCTTTCTTCATTGAGCATGGCACTGAAATCAAAGAGTATGAAGAAAAATTATAATGGTCAGTTAATTTCTTTGTTAAAAAAACAAAGATTGATAAATATTATTAAAGTTACAATTTAAACAATACTTTTTACAATTTAATGTGTTATGTAGCCTTGTTTCTCTAGTAAATATTGATTAAATCATTTAGCTTTATAAAAGTTATATACAGAAATTCACTGTTGCATATAATAAAGTGTTTAAATACAATAAAATCTATGATACTCAACAAAGAGAGAATGGAAACTGGAAACAGAAGAAGGGGAGTGATACATGTAGGGTGGGTAGGAAAGAGATGCAGCTGAGAAAAGGGGAGGAGGAGAGAAGAAAGAATTGTGGGGAAGGGTGGCAATTTTGTTTCAACAAAACATTATTTACAGAATTAATTTTATTTAGTTTAAGGGAAATTCTTTTTCAAGTACTTAAAATCCTCAAGAGACTTAGAATTTTCAATTTAATAAAATGTGTTATTCTTTGGTTGAAAAACTTTTTTTTATAAAATTAATATCCACTTAAAAATGTGTTTTTACTTTTTTTTCAGCATATAGAAAATAAAAAATATCAAATTTGAAATTTGGTTTAAGTTAAGCATTGTCAAAATGTATTTTATAAATATAACAAGAAAAAATACAGGTAATAAAATTCAATATATATATATATATATATATATATATATATATATATATAGAGAGAGAGAGAGAGAGTCATTGGTGGAGTGTTGCACTTTAGCTCACTGTCCATAGCCCCCCACCCTGACCCATATGCTTCTTCTGTACCCCTCTATACTAATCCATATGGTTGGATGTAGTAAATGCACAAGCATCTCCTATTACCCTCTCCTTGCAATGTGACTTTTAGCCCTCTAGCTCATGAGCGAGCTATACATACTTAACTCACGCCAAGGTGTCCCTGGCTTCCAGTTTGGCTCTTCAGTTGACTTTTCTGAGTGAAACTCATTCTCTATAATAATTTCTTTGGATGCCACGCCTGATGTTGATTAGTTTGTATTTGTTTGTTTGTTTTTTTAATAGGAGTAGATAAGCTTTCCTATCACCCAGTCAATACACCTCCCATTTCTCTTGAATAGGAGTAGAGACTCATCCATTGTTTCCTATTTAAGCAGTTCCCAAATCCTTTCTTTTTCTGTGGCCTTAGTAGTCGTGTTGTCATGAATATCTTGTGATGTGTGCAGTTTGTGGCTACATCTCTTCATGCTGAGGGTACCGGGTTAGCAGTTTTCTAGTTGCTGTTCCCGACTGGTACTTATGAGCCGAAACTTTTGCACAGCGTCTTGAGAAGCTGCTCTGATCAATGGTTGCATAAGATTGGGATTCTTCCTTTCTGCCCATGTTACATTTGATGATCATTTGCTACTATTACATGAGGACTTTTCCTTACCAACATAACTCAACATGACCATAAACATTATTTACATTATTTGGACTATTGTCCTCATCTTTGTCGCCATATTTATTACGTTTCGACCATTGTATGCTCCGGCCTTCTTCAGGTGGTTGGAATGTTGAACTGAACCCTTTATTTCGCTGACTGGGGTAGACTGTTCTAGTTCTATGTGCCATTTTTAATGGATGTCAGTTATCAGTTATTTCCTGTTAATTTCCCTCTGAAAGTTCTCCACTGCTTTAACCGGGTATTGAACTCACACTCTTTGGGTCCTGTCTAACCAACACCTTTATCCTCAAGGACACATGGCACAGTGGATAAAGGTGTTAGATCCAGTAAACCTGACAGTAACACTTTCCTTCCCAATCTCTGTTTTACCTCCATCTCTGACCCCTGCTGCACTATGCAGCTCTACCCTCTTGGCAACTCTGATCACATGGTAGTGTCTGTTAACATCTTCCACTCCATCCATGAACCGCCTACTAACAGAACATCTTCCTGTTATCAACGAACAAACTGGGACCCGTTCTGTGATTTCCTGTGCAACGTCCCTTGGAATGTGGTTATCCGGTTCAAAAATGTGCATCCAAGGTCTCCTAGATAAAAGCCAGCATCGAGGCTTTCATCCCAGCAAGAAAATATCAAGTTAAATCATGCTCATCTCCTTGGTTCTCACTTGCTTGCTCAGCTGCCATAGGAATCACTTCTTCCGTCTGTACTGGAGCAACAGATGTCTATTTGTTTCTGCTCGTAATGAGTGCAAGTGTGTCCTCAATGAAGTAAAGTTACTGCTTGCCAATAGAATGAAACAACATACTGCATCTTGCAAGTTTGGTTCTAAAGATTATTGGCGGATCTGCAAGAGATTGTTGAACAACAGCAAACTCTCAATCCCACCTCTATTCAATCAATTCGAAGTCCTAACATCCACAGCTAATAAGGCTGAATGCTTTGCTTGGAAATTCTCATCCAACTCAACACTCGACATTCAGAGTACCCACACCCGATTTTCCCACTAAAACTGAGGCTCTACTGAGTGAGATGTGCATAACCTTGTTGATGGTATTAGACATCATCTCTAAATTAGACTCTCATAAAGCAAGTGGTTCTGGCGGGATACAAGCTGTAGTCCTAAAGAAATGTGCTCCTGAGCTGGCTCCAGTTCTCTTCAAACTATACAACTATTGCCTCGCCGATTCTTGCTTTCCAGCCTGTTGGAAGTTCTCCTCTGTTGTCCCAGTCTTTAAAATGTCTGGAGATCCTTCTGATACATCTAACTACCATCTCATCAGTCTCCTACCACTCTTTGGCAAAGTCTTCGAGGCTTTAAGCAATGCCAATGTGGTTAATCATCTTACTTCCCATGACCTATTCTCTAACAAACAATATGGTTTTTGCGTTGCCTGGTTTACCGCTGATTTGCTTACAGCCATAACTGAATATGTATACCAAGCTCTTGATAATAATGATGAGGCGCAAGCTGTTGCTTTAGATATCTCAAAGACATTTGACAGGATTTAGCATGCAGGCCTTCTATGTAAACTTCAGTGATACAGTATTACAGGATGATTATTTGACTTACTGAACAGGTTCTCTTCCAGTTCCTTTCATACTAACACCAGTATTCCTCGAGACTCTATCCTGGGTCCTACACTGTTTCTGATCTTCATCAATGATCTTTCTGTGTCGTTCTTTGTGATTTTTTTAAATAAAGTGTTAAAGTGATCATTTTAAAAGTATCGTCTGAAGAGGCCCTCAGATCAAAACCAAGGTTGAGTGTGTGTGTGTAGGTGTGTGTATATATATATATATATATATATATATATATATATATATAAAGCCACTTGATCAGACATACAGGAATTGAGATTTATGTTGGATTTTTACGACCAAGTAAGTCCATTATTATAATTTTTTTTTCCATTTTAACTAATACATTGAATCTACTACCTCTAAGGATTGATATTTTTTTTTTACAGCTTATCAACCCTTTGTCTGTTATCTAAAACTGAAACATATTTTGGATTGTAAGAATACTTCTTGATTCGCAAGTGAATATTGCATTAACAATTATTTTTAAGAATAATAATGATTTTATCAGATACAAATTCAGCCTTAAGGCATACAATAATCATAAAAAGAAGTTTTGAGCCTAATGAGTTTTTAAAATTAAAAAAAGTATCTCTCTTCAAAACCAATTTCAACAATGTCATGATCACATGAAGGTCAACTAGAATCCCCTCTTTTCTTGAAAGAGGATTCTCTTTCAAGTTCAAGTTGGAAAGGTCAGTTATGATACTCACTTGAAAACTTCACTAGCTGTGACCAGTAGAAACTTATGGGCATAATATTGGTCATCCCCAATGTTGAGCTTGATGTCGCTGAACAGAGGGCAGTTGAAGAGTTCTTCAAAACGACTGGACACAGCGCTTTCATCATTAACTTCCTCCAAAGTTGGGTTGGTCACTTCATCATTGTTTTTATCTTCAGTTCGGGAAATTTTTTGTGGGGAAATAGACATCTTAGGTTTGCGTACTCTTCTCAGCCAATTACCTGTGAGATGACAGAGAGAGAAAGAAAATTAAAAAAAAAAAAAAAAAGAAAAAGGTCATAACAGTGATCTTTATGTACAAGTAAAACATTTTGAAAAGTTCTTCATTTTTAACAAATATCTTTGTAGATATTAGATTTGAAGTGGATTGTTCACATTGAAGAAAAAAAATCCTGTGGTTAGATTTTTGATTAAAAGAAATTTGAACTGTGATAATACTAACAAAAAAGTTTTTCCATCTGTTCCACATGTTTGTCTATCAGTGAGATTTTAGCTTTAATTTCAGCCAAACAGTAACATTCATCTAGGTTAACTATTAATTACTACTGTGATACAATAGTCCCCACCACCACATGACTGGCTGAACATACACAAAGTCCCTAAATGATGTAATCTGAGTCTATAGTGTCTTATGTTTTTATAGTCAGCCTTAAAGTTTGTGAAATGGGATCTTCAAAAGTGTCTACCTACTTGACCAAAAGAGAATAAATTAATAGATAAATAAAAGAAAACTTTTGGGAACAAGTGACACCAAACTGGAAGTTGGAAGTTTCCACTTACAGGTAGATTCCTAGTAGGAGTAGCAGAGAGAGGTAACATCTGTTTAACCAGTCATGCTTATAGCCTTGCTTGACAGAAGTAAGAAAAGGTGAAAAGACCTATGTACCACCTACATACTTCCAGAGAGAATACTAAGTTTGACTTGAAAAAATAGTCAGTGAATAAATAAACAAATTACTGAAAACAGGACCTGTATTTTTCATTTCTTGTCAGGGCATTGATTTAATCTCCCATTCCTTTGTGAATGTGCAGTGGGCCTTTCCCAGTTTTTGTGCCCAACATTTTAGGCTGGAAGTGAAACGAGGGTGATTTGTCCAGTCAGTGAAAAACCGAGAGGAGGACCCCCCCCTGTTTTACATTTACAACTTCAACATAAACTAAGATTTCTATGGGCACTTTGATGTGGTATAAGGGTTAGCAAGCTTGTTTTACTAGATCAATTACGACTGAGTAACGAGTTAGATTCTCACTGGGTGCCCCACACTTCTGGCCTTGTGCCACATCATAGCTACCATATTGGGCACTTTGACGTGGTATAATGGTTAGCAAGCTGGTCTTGCTAGATCAATTACAACTGAATAGTAAGTTTGATTCTCACTAGGTGTCGCATATTTCGGGCTTTGTGTCACATCTAAGCTAAGTTTAGAAAATCGCCATAACTAAGATATCTTTTCCTGTTTTTTGCAGACGAAAATTCACTCTATACAAGGCTTGTGAAGCACTCAAGGTAGAGATTTACTGTTAAAATGGTTATGATGAATGAGATGATATGAATGAAAGAGGGGATGGTAGATTAACTGTTTGAAAATTGTAGATTTTAAACATTATAGCAAACTTAAACTTTATACATAGATGTCCAATGGTAAGTAGAAGAAAAACCTCAGCTGAAAAAGATTAAGTAATTAATATGCATATTTGCAAAAAAGATTTTCTACTCAAAAATAAAGGCTTCTTAATCATGAAAGAAAAAGATTAAACTCTAACAATATTGCATTTTATATGATAGGTATTTTCTTGAACCTGTAATCTCCCTAGAGAAGATAGGGCTGCAGCAACAACACACTAACTAATGCAGCTGTAACTTCTATATGAAGCTGGTTTTTCTGGGGTGGAATTACGAGTTCCACACCCTATGGGTTTTAAATTCAGAGCTGTCCTTATCCTTAACTACTTGCTAAGTTAGAGGGTCCATTCTATCCTGTTATTTAACCTACAGTTGGGCACAGAAAAAATAAATTAAGATTTTTCCAAAGGTAAGGATGTGCGGTTGGTTTAATGGATAGCAGCTCAGAATAAGAAATCAGAGTACTGAGTTCAAACTCCAGTCAAGTTCCTTACATTTACTTATGTGCAAATACCTATCTCTTGTCCCTCTAGCTATGGATTAAAAAGTATAATCTTTAATTGGAAAAAAAATTCATCGGTATCTGCAAAAAATTGTTAATGCAATATTCACTCATAGGATAAAAAAAAAAAAAAAATTATCTTACAATCCAATATAGGTTTGGGCTTTAAAATAATCCACAAAGGGTTGAGAGAAATCAAAAACTATTGAATCAATGTAAACAGTCTCTTCCAGCCTCTTTCTTTCCAGTCAACTTTGATCTTTAAGAATTTAAATGCAATGTCAATCGTTATCTTCTGTCTTCTTAATTCCTGTTCTTTTATTGTTCTCTCACCTTGATAGTACTTTTTCTCATATTCTCTAAGACTCAGTAACTCCTTTGCATCTTAGTGGCTTTATTGCCTTGCTTGAGGTAAAGTAATTCCAAAAAAAAAAAAATCAATTAATGTAAATTCCCTATGGAAGATAGGGGCTACAACAACAACAACAATACGCTAACCGATGCTCCTTTAATTTCTATAGCAAGTAGGTTATCCTGGGGTGGAGTCACAAGCCTCACACCCAACAGGTTTTAAATTCAGAGTTGTTCTCCTCCTTGACTAGTTTCCACCCAAAGCTAAAGATACCCATTCTGTCTTGTCATTTAACCTAGAGTTGGATGGAGAAGAAATAGATTCAGGTTTTTCCAAAGGAAAAGAGAATGAAAAAGCCAGTATTTGAACTCTGACATGTCAGTTTCATTTTCTGCATTGAGACCCATCAATATGCAACCTGCATATCTATATGATAAGTAGAGTTTTCAAATAAGTTAATTCAGAATCAAAAACACACATATACAAATAAGTTATCATATAATTGTGCTTGTCCCACCCTTCATTAGTTCACATGACTGTTATGACCTGCTGATATCTCATAAATAATGGACTATTCCATTTTGATCACATGGAAAGACAAAGACATATCAAAGAAGGGGGAAGAATTTAACATCTATTTTCAGAGAAAGGGAAAAAATTGTCCATTTCAAATCTTTTCATTTGTACCTCCTTACTTCTTAAAATAATGACCAGCATTAATATTTATGATTGCTATTGCAATATTCTGCTAAAGCTGTTAACCTCAAATATTTAACGATGTGATAGGAGAATTTCTATGGATATTTTATTGTTGTAGAACTTGCAATGAGCTTATTCAATCATTAACTGAAGAATTAACATTCATCAGATATTTCAAATAGTAAAACCATGAAATTTTCAGGAGTTTAATTATTATTAATATACAGCAATTGGCAGAAAACATACACTTGTGAAATAGCAACCAGGAAAAACTTGCATGACAGTATTCCATAATTCAACCAATAAAATTTCTTAATATATTGTCACAGACAGAAATAGGATTCCATTTGGTAAATATAAAATTTACAAGGTAATGTGACTTTTGAAACACCTTGTAGATTGAGAAGTTTTTTTTTTTTTTTTTTTTAAGCATTTCACCCCAAGCAAGGCGGGGAGCCACTAGGACGCAAGGGGTTACAGAAAATAGGAAGATCAGATAGGAGTGATAGAAGAAAGTATAAGGGTAGTAGATAGATTAAGGCAACTGGAGATGTCGATTGACATTACACTTGAATAGCTGGAGATTTGCTACTAAAAAGTGTGTATCCTGACAAAAACCGTGTATTCTATTTTTCCACTAGGGAAACCACTCCTATACATAAAGCGTAGCATTACTAATACCTTAAGCTATAGGAATGGTTTCCCTGATAAAAAGTTAGCTTTATCCAATAAATATTTATAAATCAATATCACCCCATACAAGGCAGTAAAACCACTAAGACCCAAGTGTTTGCAGGGTGTGGCAAAATTAGTAACAGAAACATTAATAATGAGTAGGAAGGGAAAAGAGTAATCAGGAGGATAGTAAGCAGATAGTGATTGACATTGCATTTAAATTTTTGCAGATTAAAGTTAGCCGGAAAGCATGAAGCTGGAAGGGAGTCCCACAAGCGAGAAGTGTGAGAAAAGAAATTTACAGTTATATCTAGCCTGTTCAACTGTGAATCAATCTAAATGCCAGTATGGTACTGCACTTAAATTTAAAAAAATCTACAAACTATAGCGAAAGTAATTGTTTAGATAAACTCTTATTTAACCCATATCTTTTTTTCATTTCTGAGCAATTAAGGTAGCTGATCTCAAAATTGAATTAATCATCTCTTAATTGCTTAAGGCATTTTACAGGGTTTAGTATGCTAGTCTTTTTCACAAGTTGAAACGTTATGGTATTTCTGGATTAATTTTTGAACAGATTCAATCTTTCTTATCAAATGGTGAAATGAAAGTTATGTTGAGCAGCCACTAGATCTTTTTTGCATTAATGATGCAAACCTCCAAAAGAGTTGACAGCTAATGATTTCCACTGACATGAAGTGGAAAGATTATATTGAATCAGTTGCTAGATCTGCCGCTAGGAAGGTAGGTTCACTGTGCTAGACAAACTCTTCTTGCCAGAATCTGTCTTAAATATTTATAAGCCTACCATTTGTCCTTGCTTTGCATATTGCTGGCATATCTTGTCAGATGCTCTTGCTATATTTAGAGATTCTTGATAAAATCCAAAGAGGAATTTGCAATGTTATTGGTCATGGTGTAGCAATTCAGCTTCAGTCACTTCCCCACCACTGTAATGCAGCTTCTGTGTGCCTTTTCTATAAATATTTTCATGGTAATGGTTCTGATTAGGTTTCTGCTATAGTCCTTAGACTTTATGAATTTAAACACAATATTCGATTGGCAGCAGGTTTAATCATTTTACAGTTAAAATGGCTAAATGTAACCATAAGTTCTATGCTAACAGTTTCTTCATTCCCACTTGCTTGTTGAACTCTCTTCTGGCTTCTTTATTTCCAGTCAATTTTGATTTTGAAAAATTTAAATGCAATGACAATCGTTATCTTATGTCTTCTCAGTTCTTGTACTTTTATTGTTCTCTCTCCTTAATAGTGTTTTTTTTTTTTTTTCATATTCTCTCACACTCGGTAACCTGTTGTGTCTTAGTGGCTTTATTT